GGGAATATTTGTTCCGCAATTCGTGCTGCCCATAACAGACTTTGGACCCTTTCCATATATATTGTACAGTCGGGGTATGTTCTTAATCTAACGACGTATGCCCCCTTCTTTCCCCACAACACCTTAACCTGTTCGGTTCTGTGTGTCAGCGCCCCTAACATGTGTCCCCCAGGGGATACCGACGTGAACCCGGCCGCTCTGACTGAGTTACAGCCTTAATGATCTGAACCAAATATGTGTGGTAGTTGGAGAGGCTGAGGTGCATGTGTGTTAGTGTGTGTACCCGTGACGTTCCCCTACTCTACCCTCCCCACAGCATTGGATCAGTTTTCAAAAACAGCTGGCAGCGGTCTGAGCGTGGTGCTAGGTCGGCACCTGTACAAATACCACTCCGGAGTGGACGCGGAAGAGTGTGCGAGACGATGCGTGCAGGAGGTCGACTTTGTCTGCCGATCCTTCGATATCAATAAAGTCGGGTGCTACGCCATAGCAGAAAGCTGGAAAAGTGCACCCGAGGACAAGTACAAATGCGCGTCCCCCGAGTGCGGATGGGACCACTTCGAGCGACTAGGTACGTGACGGCGACGTCGCTTCCTGACCTAGCGCTTAATCGCGCCTGGTCACCCCTATTTCACAGTTCATAGGTCCGTCGTAAGGCTGCAAATATGAAGTCTGGCGGACTGTCGAACCCTTAGATAGGGGTGATCAGGGTGTTGCAAGTGCTTGCAGGAGTTCGACGATCTCACGTTCGGATTGCCTTCCCCTGCGCCTCACAAAAGCCAAGCCAAGCCCCTGCACTCTCTATCCTGCCTTTCTGCTGCTCTGCTGTTTGACATGCATTCTTTTATCGTTTGTTCTTTTTTTATTTTATTTTGAAGAATGCCTGTGCGTGTCTCATCCACGGCTTTTCACAAGTTCAAGGTCACCAGCTAGTTCTCGCTTCAACTGCACACCCACCCGCACGGAAGTTATGGCTGACCCCAGCACATATTTCTCTCATCACTTGACAGTACATATGTCTTGCACTTAAAGTTAAACCAATTAGTGCACTGTCAGTAGTTTGAAAACGACCTATTTCAGGTTTTTCTTATTTCACCAAAACTTTTAATGGCTGTGTGAACTGGGAAACATTAGAAATTGACACGACCCTTGGGTCGGGAGGAGGGGGAGGGGGGCTAGACGTAGCATTAGTGGACCGGCCCTTGCCACAGTTCTGGACACGCATGTAAGCCTCCACACACCCATTACTTTCACACAGAGGGCAGAGTCGACATTGATTATTTTCACAGACTTCGAATTCATCCCCAAGGGCAGGCCCAATTATGGCAGAAGTCAGGTCGTCAGCTTGGAAATCTGCTCGCGGTTTCCGTTTTCACAGCAAGAATGTGACCAGACACAGACAGGTTTAAAACGTGGTCTGTGGGTTGGTCGTTTTTCTCACCAAGTTAACCACCTTGTTTTTCTCTTCATAATCGCCCAGACGTCTTGTAAGTCGGATTAGGCCCATTGTGGTCTGCCCCTGCCGGTCTAAAAACAAGCCCTGCTCCGCTTTCTTTTATGTACAGTAGGGTAGGCGTTATGGTTCGGTCCTCTAGAAGCCTTGTATGTGCTCAAGAGCGCTATTTCTGGTCTGAGAAAGGAGGCGTAATTCTAGCACGGGATGGGGGACTTACTGAACAGATCCTATCTCTTTGACATGTCACTTAGGGCAGGTCTGGGGCGCTGCGTGTTTGTCGTTTCTACCTGTCACCACATTCAGGGCAGGGTCGTCACAGGTATGCACAGCCAAATCACACGTATTCCGACATGCCTGGCATGGACATTCCATATTAGTCGCAAACGAAGTAGAACTTGTACTAAAATGGCCTCAGACAAAACACTATTCCCTTATCAAGGCTCAGTCGATTGTTACACGATTTCGATTCGACTTTACGACTGCTTCTTCTCCCATGCCTTCCCTCCAACCCTCCCGTGCGGCAGAACTGCACGTGCGACCCTCTCTCATAACCCCCGCAATTCTGGTCTCTCCTAACCGCAGAAGCCACAGCCCCTATCCCTGGCAAATGTGCAGCCCTAACGAGATTAGTTTTAAAGCCCTTCAGAAAGTGCGGTAGCGACCAAGAGTGCGTGCAAAGCGTCCCTGTCGGCTTAGTCCACACAGCGTCAGCAAGGGACCGTCCGAAATGCCAGCAGAAGCCGTGGCGTTTGTTCTGTGACAGCCGGACAGGACAAGACAGAGTGGGATCTCCGGGGAGACCACCAAAGATGGCTTGGGTTGCTAATGTTACGCGTAGCAGGGCGTGCGATAAATGGGACGCCGACAAAGTTTGACCTGTGGTACCTCCATACAACACTTCTCTATCAGCTGGGCTTTCTGAAGATATGTCTTCTCACCAAATTCGTTACGTAAGCTAGTCAAACAATTTACATAACTGTCTTTACATCGTTTTAAAATCCACGTTCTTCATGAGTCAGATTGGGTACAGCCATACATTAGCGTATAGAAATAAAAGAGATTCTTAGCCGAGATGCAGCAAATGATGAAAACGGGCCTAACGTAACACAATTTGGCATATCAAGAAAAGGTATATTACCCAACCTTCTGATGCGAATGTTTCATTCACAGAGAATTACAAAACAACAGAAACAAACAGGACGCATAATATAATGAAAAATTATATGCATATCCCACTTCAAATGCCGCCATTCTCCGTGCCAAAGAGTATCTTGGTTGTGCCGTTGAAGTGCCAAGGGCGCCCGGTTGGTATTTATCGTCGGGAGCTCCGTATGAGGGACTCTAATGATGAGAAAAACAGTCGAGCCAAGGCCGGGTTGGACACTGCTAGATGTGTCGACGATTTCGAGCTTGGCAAAACACTTAGGTTCTTCCCACAAAATGGATGTACAGCTAATTGTCTCATTTTCGAAACCGACTCGTGTCGAAACGAACGTCTTGGATCTAGAATTTGATTGTTTTGTGTACATGCGATATTGCATTTCCATAGCCTGTTTGTTCGTCCGCAAAGTAGGATAAGATGTACAGAGCTACTCTACAAGTATTCTTCAGCATACAGGGGTTGCATGCTAGAATGTTGAGCCTCGTCGTTTTCCAGAGTTCCTATTTTTCGTCTACATGTTCTGGTTCGATGCCCTTTTCATATACGCAAAAAATTGTGTTATCTCAGACCTTAACCTGTAATGTACCCAACGTCCTCCGTGTATGTATCCTATGCATCATACTCGTATTTATGTATAATCAGTCCCTGTTATGTATAATCTGTCCCAGTACTGTTTACCAACTTGCTAAACATTGTATCCGTCACAATTATTGTGCAGTAAAAGTTGATTGATCTAGTTTGCAAACCGGCTGGACATCTGTCGAGCAGAACTATAACTAGACCTGAGAACGAAGGTCGCATCTGTTCGGTCGTAGCTCCTTTATAGAGGTAAATCCCAGGAAGAATGTCTTGCCCCAGTTACCTTGGCTGACCCTATGTCGACACGGAAGCTCCCCGAACAAACTAATGGGACATGTGCCAAGGAAAACGTGCAAGGAAGATTGTAAACATTTCAGCTATTTTCAACATGCCACCCCAGTGTCTTCTGAAAGCCCCTGTTACTCATTTCGAGAACTTCTAAGAACTTCTCTCGGTTTTGTTCAAAAGTGCCCTCTGTGGGACGAGGAAATGTGATAAAACACACGGTCCTGCCCCGGGAGCAGAGGGTGAAATGTTGGGGTGGAATGATCAACTGTGCCCAGAGCACCTCGCTTGTTCTCGTGTGGGTGAGAAGAATGTTCTGTGTAACGAACAGGCACATGCTGACACTATCTTAGGAACATCGGCAGCCGGCACCTATACACACACACGGGTAGCTGGCTGGGGGATTCTATGATATATACTAGTTTCAAAACATGTTATGCCAACATTGGAAACTGGTGGGAACTTTGGATGTAAGATCACGAATGGTTTAAATTGTTTAGACGTAAATCAAAGACGCTTTTCCTGTGTCTAGAGATGTGTAAAGAGATGCATGAGAACATGAAGCTAAACAGGCACACTTTGCATCTCATCCATCGTGGTTTGCTTATTTTGAGCATCCTGTCCCTGTCACGCAAAACAGACGTCTAGTGAGTTGTTGATGATAATCGTCCTTTTGATTACAAGGCCGATAGCGATACGAGATAGGACAATAAATTAAAAAGAACTTGAACATCACGTTGTACGTTTTACGTTTCAGGCCTAAAACCGACGGAGAAGAACGAGGTGTGTTTCACGAAGGCAGGAAAGATTCCGTACAACCCGGACACGCAGACCTGCTGCATCGATGGCGTCAAGGAAGGCGCCGAGAACAAGCACATATGCAAGACGTGCGGCTCGACAATGTTCGCCATGCCGAAGGACGGGCCCACCTGGAGGTGCTGTGGGTCCAAACGTGACGTTCCCTACAATCCCGAAAGCCATCACTGCTGCTTCGGCAACGTTCGGGAGGGACCCGAGGAGGAGACGGCCTGCTTCCGATGCGGGAAGAACGTCGTGTCCATCCCGGAGAAGGAAGCCGACGACTGGATGTGTTGCGGTAAGAAAAACACGCCTTACAACAACAAGAAAGAACACTGCTGCTTCGGCGAGGTGAAGGACGGATCGGATGAGAAGTTTCAGTGCCAGAAGTGCGGCAAGAAGGTTTTCAGCAAGCCCAAATCAGACCCGTCCTGGAGATGTTGCGGGAAAAAGAACGACATGCCCTACAACCCCGACACTCACCACTGCTGCTTCCACGAGGTGAAGGAAGGTTCTCAGAAGGAGCACATGTGCCAGAGGTGCGGAGACAACGTCTTCAGCAAGATGATCTCCGAGCCGTCCTACAAGTGCTGTGGGCCTCAGATGGAGCCCTACAACCCACACAGTCACCACTGCTGTTTCAACGAGGTAAGTCCATTCTATCGCCTAGTGAAGATGTCCCGACGATCTTGAACTAGGAGGACATGTAGCTAGATAAGTAAGAGACATCCAAGAGAGCTCAAAGTGCCTGATGCAAGTGAATTATCGGTGGGTTATGCCTGTAATTGTTCGATGACTAGGTATTTATGCACATGAACCATACCTATTTACAATCTTGCCATTCAGTTAACACATCATTGATTTCTCAGGTTCGGAAAGGCTCCGAGAAGAAGAACGTGTGCCAACGGTGCGGCGCGAACGTGTTCAGCCGGCCGGCCTCGGACCAGTCCTGGTGGTGCTGCGGGAGCAAGGACCTGCCGTACAACCCCACCTCCCACACCTGCTGCGGCGGGGACGTCCTCAAGGGGCCGGACGGCGACAACGTGTGTCAGAAGTGCGGCGACGTGTCCTTCCTGCGGCCCAAGACGGACCCCCGCTGGAACTGCTGCGGCGACGACAACACCCCCTACAACCCGAAGACGCACTACTGCTGCTTCGGGAAGCTGATGGACGGGCGGAGTCGCAGTACACGTGCCTGAAGTGCGGGAAGAAGGTGTCCACGGTGCCGTCAAACGGCCCGGTGTGGGGCTGCTGCGCAGACCTCGCCTACAACACCGAGAAGCAGGTGTGTTGCAAGGACGAGGTCTACCAGGGAACCAAGTGTAACGCACCGGGCATCAAGCCTGCATCAGGTGAGTTGTCATCTATTTCAGAATTTCGTTAGCTGTATAATCTCCAGGCAGACCTTTCGGATAGCCTGCATCCATCTAACGGCAAGACAGTATCCAATAGGCAAGCAGTATCCCATATGCCAGACAGCATCCAATAGCAAGACAGTATCCTATAGGCTACCTAAATTCTGTCAGAAACCAGTACTTATAGAAAAAAGCTCACATGCTTCCCAATAAGCTATAATTCATTCTTTGTACGTATCAAGAATATGTGGCTTCGTGTCGCAAATTTCAGATGGCGAAGTGAATGTGCTATTAACACGTGAACTTCAACAAATCAAAATTGACATGACCTAGAATAATCTTTATAGAATGTACAAAACGTTCATTGAATTTGAAACAGTGTATGATTGTTACTCCCCGAGCCAATCTGATCCCCCATGAGTGACATCATCCTGTGAACACGTACGTTCTAACCCCTCCGTCACCCTAACATCTACTGCATACAGATAGACGACACGGCCTCTCACTGATTCAACAACACGTATAAGGCAGAGCAGTCAATCTCATTCTGCCAAGGGACAGAGATGTCTTGTTATCTGTCTGACAAACCTACCTTAAGTCGCTTTGACATTTACTTGTCTATTCACGGTGTGTTGTCTGTCACCTCGCTGTAACACTGACTCGTCTTTTCCAGTCCTTATCTCGACTTTGACTTAATCGCTTAAAGTGGGGCGGAGATCCGGCCTCGACCCAGATGCCCCCTTTCCAATCAAAGAACATTTACAATTTACCCTTCATTTGGCGCTAAATGGGTTCGGATGGGACATCTGTAATCGAATGTCTGTAGGTAACACTTGTGCTGTACACCTCAACGTTAGGATACCGACTGGTAACGATGTCACTGTCCCTATCTTTTCTCGTCGTTCTGACTAGAGCTGTCTCTACCACTGACTCCAATGGGTTGCCAGATCACCGGATATATACGAGTACAATGGCATATTATTTTGTCAATTTTGCAATCATTTTCCAGCAACTTATTGGAAACTAAACTAAAACGCCTGGCGCCAATCGGTCAATGGATCCTACAAAACATGACATTATCACTTCCCCATCTCCAAACGTTTGACAAGTCGGGTCAGTGCATTAACCTTTCTGTCGTGTAGGAGATGTGTAAAGAGATACAGTCCCTTGTCACAGCACTGTTATTTCAGTTGCATGACATTGATAGGTGCAGGGGAGAGGTCAGTCCCCCTCCTCCAGGACCAACCTGGTATCCATCCCATCACCAAGATAAGTAAACCGGCTTTAGTACAAATAAATAAATGTGAGCTTTCCTAGGAAAATGTAAACCAGCGCGGAAAAATGTTTGCGGTGACAACACGGGGGTCAACACAAAGCCAGGAGAAATGTTGCAGGGAATGCCTGCAGCTCCCGGCGTGTTTAATTAGGGGACAAGGGACACGTACAGCAGCTTTAGGGAAGTGGAATAGTTTGGATTTTTTGCCGTGGGTAACGAACCGTCACCTAGCTGTGTTCAACAACTCAATACTGATTATTTACATTATTAGTGGTAATGGGAATTTTTTGTAAGCACAAAAATCTGCCAGGGTCATGAAAAATGACAATAAATTGTCTGTGTGGGTCTCCCCCCCCACTGCCCTCATTAAGGGAATTAATCACGTTTAAATTGGACGTTTTTAAGTTGAAGGACGGAGAAGCTGCCAGTAACAGCCTCGTGGTTGCCAGTACACGTTACATGTTATAAAGATGGTTTCACCCCAAGCTGTACATGTGTGCAAATCGCTTTCCTACTTGTACTCGAACCATTAACCGGTTAACCTGCATGTAGTGTATGTATACTATATAGGATGGTACAGTACCTGAAAGGAAGAATTGGTAAAGGCGATAGACTAAGTAAGATACAATTTTTTAAACCCGAAGTTATATATTCATGAGAAGCTCGATTTTCATTGAGATCACGAGATACGAGATAGGGGTCACACAAAATAAAACAACATGCAGATTACATGGTTGAAGTTTACAAAGCGGTTACGATTCATTTTATTTCGTTGATGTATTGCAAGTTATATTCCTTAGATTCTTTTTGTCTCCCCAGGAGAAAATTAATGATTGTTCCCTCCGGCCATCAATGATGATACTCAGTTAGAAACAACAAGATTTTGTTTTCAAAACACACCTGGAAATTCATCCTACCACCCACGAAGGCCGACTTTGAATTCATGAAAGCTGGAACCGGTGGCGTTTTTTTTTCTGATAAACTGTTTTTTCTAGTCCAGACGTCGAAAGGACAGCAATGGGACGAACTAGAAGAGAAGAAAGAGTAGTAAACGTCTGGACAGGATTACTGTAAGCTAGGATCTAAATTGTGATCGACCCTAGCTACCACAGTTTTGAGATATCTGTTGGATTCTTTGAACTTCAGTCTAACACGGTTTCTAAAATAATTAAAGAGCTCGCGAATGCAAGTAGGATTCAGGAACAACGCGTGCAGTTGTGTATATATCCGTGCACGTATCCAGTCCAGAACAGAGTCATCACGCCCCCATCCCCCTTGTCGCACCATAACCCCCTCCGCCCATTCGAAACCTATGATTGTTGCCTCCCCTTTTGTCCTGCAGTGGGCCAGCTGGGCCGCTTCAGATGCCCTCCCTGCCCTCTTCAGTCCTGAAGCTGAACAAACATACCGTTGTCTCTCTGTCCCCGTCCATTCACAAACACACCGATCTGCTGACCCGCGTGTCGTACAATCGTCCATTGTGCCCCGCTGATGCTGTATTTATACTATCTTCTAACAACTTGGCGTTCCTCTTTCCACTCTGTCAGTATCTGGGTCAAGTGTCATTGTCGGTCCCCCGTATCAGTGACAGGGAAGAATGTATGGCCTTGTACGTCGCCGGTGTTTTCCAGCGTTTCCCGCTAATCTGGGCTTGATTGAACGTCTCGTTTGGCGGGGACACGAGAAGCTGTGTTTGAACCGTGGAAATCAGAGGTCACAATCTTACATCCATCCCAAACATTTATTGGCACGACTAGGCTATCTACAATAAGTACACGCTTCAGCCATCTGGGGAACATGATTTATTTTCTTATCGTGCCCAGCTTATTTACATTCTTTTATAGTGGAGATAAGACTGCCTTACTGGCATATACGCAGCAATTACGGATGTTATAATAGCCTAAATCAATGCTGTTCACCTCGTCCGGGTCTTGTGCTATATATCATCTAAGGAGTTTGACTGTAAAAGACTAAAACAACGGTGACACAAAGGCTATAATGAAGGTACACGGCTCATTGAGCGCTATACATTAATGAAGCTTCATTCATTCATTCATACATTCACTCATTCATTTGATCAAGGCGTTCTTCAGCTACCTCTTGTATTTCATTTTGACGTTGTTTCTTCGTTGTCCTATTCACATTGCACCATTATAATCTAGGTAAACAGCACACATAGAGTACATCGACAATGTCATTACTTATTATACCATAGGGACGCCATGTTGGTGGGACGGATGCATCCAAAATGGCGACTGATCATCCAAACTAATACTACACACGATCCACCGTGCATTATGATCCTGTAATTATCATATATCGAAATCTAAGGCTTGGTTTAGTTGGTTGGCTGGTTGTATGTTAATTGATTTATCTATTTATTGATTGATTGATTGATGGATGGATTAATTGGCATCCATTTTCCTCCCGCAGACCTGGCCGAGCAGACAAAGCAGGGTGAGGACCCGGGCGCGTACAGCGCGGACCGGCAGGGTTCCGAGCCCGCCAAGGAGCCGGCCTTCAAGCCGGAGGGCGAGGAGGCAGGGACGGGCGGCTGTAGCGTCAACACGGGCGGGCGGCAGTCAGCCACTCAGATCTGCTGTGGAAACAGGTCAGGCGCCGCCCTTCTCTCACCACCCATTGTACCACACACACTTCCCAGCGGATACCGTTCTATAAACGACACGAAACAGCCCCGGTGTTCTTCAGGACAGGGTCACCAAGTTGTCCCCTAAACAGGTCCTAATTAATGACGGCGACCCACGCCCCTGTAGCTCAATGTAATTAGTAAAATTCAAACACCGGACGAGTTGAAAGAAGATTTCTTCCATTTTGATGAACGGCCCCACACCATTTTCCTCTTTAAACCACAGAAATATCCGTCAATGCTTGGCGCATGTACAATTCTAGCTGCTCTTCATTGTTTTTCATCAAGTATAATGCACCATTAAACCAAGCCGTGGGAAATGCCAAAGCTTTGGCGACGGGGCACTGGTTATTCTATCACAATGCAGACTCAGGCACATAGTTTACCTGTCTACTCTTTCCTTGGAAAACACCTGTTGGTACGGGACACCAGGCTCGATTGGTGCCGATAAGTCAACCCAGGAAATTCCTTTCCCCGGGTTATTTTTAGAAGCGAAGGGCATGAGTACATAGAAACAACAAATGGGATAATGACGAGTGAGAAAGGTGATGGTACGTGACAAATCTACTGCTATCATGACCGACGCCATACACTATAACGTATAGAAGAAGAATGACGATGAAAAGTTTGACTGTTAAAATGTGATAACTACAGTATACACAATTCAATTCAGGACATAACGCGCCTGTTTGTAGCTAAAATCACAATGTTATTACACATGCATACCGCAAAACAGGTCAGCTTCTTCACAATTAGTACAGGTTGTATGATTAGTATCTGGTAACAGGGCTAAATCTATCAAAACCTTTACCGGCAGGCTGTTTTTTGTCGCCGTATTTATTGGGCGATTTATAAGGCTCTTCTCGAAGTTTCTATCTGGGCCTGTAGTTAGGTCAATCCCAAACCGTATGTCATGTACAGATTTACTGAAAGGCACGTGGAATGTTAGTCGGTTTCCGCTCCGTCTACCTGGGTGAGGCGTTGCAGGTGTCATGGTGGCCGCAGCGTCCGGACCGGACACAGAAGTCAACCGGGATCACCTGTAATTATAGGGTGTGTCACATGTCTGATCAATACTTGGCAGCTACAAACGAGCGCCGGTAGACCCCCTATTAAGAAATACATTCTTGTTCTCGGGAAAAAAGCACTAAAAACGTTGTGGAGACAAAAATTGAAATGTTTTTGCAGACATTTTTCACATTCTAGGGAACCAACGAAGGTCAGACGACTTTATTTGTCGGCTATTGTGTCCGCTTACGGGACGTTGCATATAGTAGTAAACACATGGAGAAGTAATTATACTTCCCCGTAACAAATGTAAAGAACACCCCTGGTTGATACCGCTCAGGTATAAATAGACGTAAAACACACTTAAAACATCAGGGCAAGACGAGGATCACATTGCATGGCTAGAGACAAGTGGCGTGTAGAAAAAGGAAACGTCGCGTGATTTCTGCTCTGCGGTACCTGGATGATTTATTTGACGTGACGTTGAAGAATTTTATCTGTATGTACACAACTAACGACTCGGGGCGTCGGAAATTTCCGTAATCCGCGGTTTCCGGTTGAGAGAAAAATGTTTGAGAACACGGACACCGCTGGTTTCCTGTCGGCGACCAGACATGACGTACACCGCTCCAGACAGGGCTGCTAGACGGGGCCTGCATGTCCCTTTTTCGTAAATGCGTAATCGAGCCTTTT